GCATCTCCGGCTCCCTTCAGGTGGGACGCCAATGAGGATCCAGGATCCCTAAGTCGTTTTGAAACACCAAACCCCAAACCCAAAACTCTAGATCCTTATGAGCCCTGCATAACCCAAGCCATGTTGGTGCGCGCAGGTCTTCCGCTGCTTAGAGGCAGAGCGTTGCACGGATTCGGGCTGCGCAGCTGGATCCTTGTCTTCGGCTCTTGGTTCGGTGTTTAGGATGCTCCTAACATCTCCTGACACCTTATCTTGCATGTCGAGATTCAATTTGCGGATCATTACGAATGATCAGGTTCCTGGAGATTTGTGGCAGGCACGTGTAGGCTGAAGGTGTCGGGAGCGTGCTTGTCATGTACCCTCGTGACATGACCCCGACTGCCTACCTGTTGCATGCCTTCGGAAAGTCATGTCTCCAGGATACTCCGGCCCCCTGTGTGTGTAGTGCGCTCCTAACTACCACTCCTTCAACTTCGGCAAGCAGTGCGACGAATGCCAGAGCCTGCGCCAGCACCTCGAGGATCAAATAGGGCACCGCAGTTACTGGTACTACAGACTAAGGGGAGGTTTTAATTTGGCGTTTATGAGTTATATTGCTTGAGGATAGTATTATGAAATTAGTTGCAAGTCCTTTGTTTTTCATGGCTAGCATTCTTTCCGATTGTCACGAGGCAGTCGGTGGTCTTGGTCTTCGTGGTCTCCCTGGGAACTCTGGCGCTCATGGGAGCAATTGTTGCCGCAGGCTGCCTCCTGAGGCGCATGGTAGCCAGGCTTCAGAAAGCCTTTAGGCATTTGTAAAACCATACAAAGCTCCGGACCTACATCCCAAAGCCTGGTCTGGGAATGGAGTGCGCGGTGCAGCTCCTGGTGTCTCAAGGGGCGGTGTTGCTGCAGCTGGCGCAGCTCTGGGTTCTGCTGGCGCGCCTCGGCCATCCGGGTCAATGTCTTTCTCGCTCTCACTCTCACGCTCGCGCTCATACATCCGTACGTACGTACATACTGTCTGTATCAAAGGTCTTATGCAAGTTGCAGTGTGGGGGCTCAGCTCTGGGTTCACTGTTGCCATCCTCTTGCACTGAGCTTGTTACCTAGGCGCCTGACGAGCGCCAGGGAGGCACAAGAAGCGCCTGGGTTGCACTCGAGGCCCGGAGCTGCAGCTCCAAACGAGGGTTGATTCAGGCAACGCTTAGTGTTCAGTGTTAAAGGATTTTGGGGCTAAGGGTTTGTTGCGAACTCCGTTGCGATTTTGGGGTGTGGCGGCGTTGGAGCTGAGGTCTTGCAGGAAGTGGTCGCGTACAATGTCACAGATGACGTCCCCGCCCCTGAGGAGTTGAACACGGATCGCGGCTCGGCCTGGCAAGCCGGTAACCGGGCCTAACCGTTTTTTTTTTTGCAGGGCATTTGCAACGCCTGAAGCTGCAAAGATGTGAGCCGAGGGGACCCGCTGTTGTCCTACATCGAAATCCTACAGTTCACGGGCTCGGAGTTGCAAAGCTTCCTGGACTTCCAGTGCCGCTGCGACGGTGCAACCGTCCGCGGCATCTTCGCCCTTGCCACGCCCCTCCTTCCCTTGCTGGTCCTGGTTGCATGCGCCTGTGTTCTTGTTAAGGAACTTACTCTTTAAGGTACCGTGATATAGGGACCTATAGCAACTTGAATTACGCTCCGTAGCAAGAGCCCAGGCGCCTGCCTAGAGCTTCGGAACCTTGGCATGGGATCCTTGTCTGCAGCAGAGACATGCTCCAAAACACCCGCAACGGTGCCAGCTTTTTCCCCCCAACCCAACACCATGGAGGTCTGGTTGAGGAAAGTCTCCCCAAACAGTCCTTCTTCAACTACACCACAATATCATGCCCCGATGATCTCTCTGCCACAAACTCTACCTTAGAAAGGTATTCGGGCCTTCTTTATTCCTACTTTCGAGGCATCCAGCTGGCCCTCCGCGCCTTGACGGTCCTCTTCGTGGGAGGCGCCTCCGGCGCGGTGAAGCTGCTGGGCTACCAGCGCGCCGACGGCGAAGGCGGGGTGTGTAGGACTTAGCGTGGAAGGTCTATCGTGTCCAGGGTCGTGGTACTGTTGCGGGGGGTCTCAAAGAGGGGTTAGGGTTGAGGGTCTCTAAAGTGTAAGGCTTTAGTGTAGGTTTTTGTGCCCTGACCCTCAATCACTAAACCCTAAACCCTAAAGCCTACGAGGCACGCGGAAAAGGCCCCTGAAAAAAAAAGCCTACGAGGCACCTGGATACCGGACGACCTGGCCTTCCGGCCGCTTTTCCCGTGGCTCCGGTGCTCGAAGGAGACCGCCGCAGCCGCCTGGGTGGGGTTGCCCAGTGCTCTCTTCGTTGGGTTTAGGGATCAGGGTTCTTTCTGTTTAGGGTTTAGGGGATTTACTTCTGAAATGTATTTTTTTTCGGTTTGGGGTTTAGGGGACGAGCCCCTATTCAACGTTTGTTTGGGAAGCCCTTAATTCGAACTTCGAACTCCTGTGTGTTTGTACTACAAGCAATATCTAGGCTTCCTTGTCAGAGGTGGACCGAATCGGCTGGAGCACTGCCGCCGTCTATGGCGGAGCGGTGCCCTGTTTCCTCGCCTTCCTCTTCTTCAGGCAGCACCGCACCATGCGGCCGCTCAGATCTGTTTAGGCTTTAGGGGCAAAGTTTGGGGGTGCCTCCTAACAGCTACACACACAGACTTCTCAGTGTGCAGTGAAATTGACAAAGGCAGTGCAAGACCTTCTTTGTCGTCAGTGCCAACCAGGAGAGCGGCAGCGTCCAGCTGGAGCTCACTGCATGCGCAAAGTCGGAGCACTTCGAGGACCAAGAACAGAAGGGCTCATGTGCATACTTGTTGCATCTTGTTGTTTAGGGTTTCTGGGTTAGGGTTACGAAACAAGTTACTTGCAGAGGAACTTCCTGTCTTGCTTCCCGTCGCTTGGTTACAGTCTGACATGCCGATGAAGCGAAGTGACATGTCTGCTCTGCGTGCAGCACACTCTAAACCCTAAGCCCTACCTCTCACTACGTGGATCACTACCGCACAGGCCCGCATCGCTTCAATCTGATTGTGCTCTGTCTGCAACCCACTTTCACAGCGGTCATGTGAGCATGTGAGCAAACGTAGCCGGTACGCGAGTAGCATGACGATTCGCCGCTGGAGCCTTTCTTCTCCCACGCCGTCTGAGGCGCCCAAACCTATTCGTTTCAAGACTCACTCCATGGCTTTTTTGTTTAGGTCAGGGCAGGGCAGGGCAGGGCAAGCAGGGCAGGCAGGGCACAGACAGGAAGCAGGGCAACAGGGCAGGGCAAGGGAGGGGGGGCAGGGTGCAGGGCAGGGCCAGGGCAGGGCACAGGCAGGGTTTAGAGGGTTGGGGCCTGGGGGAGAAAGGAAAGGGGTTGGGGACTGGGGGAGGAAGGAAACAGGGGTTTGGGGATTTAGGGTTCGGTGATGAGGCCTTCTCATGCACTCGAAATTGCAATGTCGCTAGGTACTTCCGCTTATGCGCAAAATTGCGTTGCGGCAAACCCCAAACCCCAAACCCTAAACCCCAAAACCCTACACCCCTAAACCCCTAAACTTAATCCCTAAACCTGTAAACTCCTAAACTCCTAAACCCTAAAACCCCCCAGGCCCTAAACATTAAACCCGTGTCCGATGCAGGAGGAGCTCCTGGCAAAGCGCCTACTGGGTGCTGCAGCGGCCCACCTGGCGGTGCAGAGGCCCGGAGAAGTTGTGGTGGAGCTCCACCAAAATGCGGTGACTCTCGGCAGTTTAGGTTTTAGGGTTTGCGGGCTTAGTGGTTTAGGGGTTTAGAGGTTTAGAGGTTTAGGGGTTTAGGATTAGGTAGACACAAAAGCTTAAACCTTAAGGTTCTGGGGTGTAGGGTTTGGTTTAGAGGTCTAGGCTAACGCGCGCCTTAATGACCATGGG